GTCTGGTACAGAGTTGCATAAACCGTTAACCTGCGCTGACTGTAGCTAGTGTAACTTCATCACAGCAGACATACTGATATAGTTTGCCTTTTTAAAAGCAGGCCTCGTATATGAGTGTGTGAAACTGAACATGAAACTGCACTGTGCTCATCAGATTAAACCCTAACCTCGACCACACACACACACACACACGGGCTTCCTGATGCGTATATTTTCAGTTTATCTTTGCTCTTATCTAACCAGACGTGTTGTCAGCTTAAAATGACCATGAAATGAAACGTGCAGTGAAAGGAGGCGTTGCAGCTGTGATGTGGGCTTCCTTTCAGCTTCAGATGCAGAAACTTCAGGTGGATCTTTATGAGAATGAACAGAGTGGCACTCAGCTGAAAATTGTTATCTTTATTGATTAAGAAAAAAAAAGTTTGAGCATGCGGTTTAAGCACCTCTGAGCTGATGTTTTTCATATCATCACCATCATGATGTGTGAAAGTGACTTTTCACTATTCTGTCATAGTTTCTCAACACAAAACTATGATTCTGTCTGACCATTCAGTTAGAAGTGTGAAAGCAGAGTTTCTTTATAAACGATGTTGATAGATGCTCGCTCTAAGCTCATACGATCACTGATTAAGGGCAAAAACCGTTTCCTGGAAACTGATGATAAGAAAAAGACGAGGAGAGGGCTTCAAACCACACAGATGAAGCAGTTAACCGCAGAGAAATGTGACCAAAGATAAAAATATATCTCATTTACAGGGTTAGGAAATACAAGCTTGACGACACTGTTGATTCCTCACACGTCAGCATGTGTTTAGCCAAACTTTATATAAATGAATTTAAATGAATCTTGTGTATTTGCATGCGTGTGTGTGTTTTGTTATTTTTTTTGTTTTGTTTTTTGGGGGTGGTGATTGGTTGAGAGTCTAAAAACATTTACAACATTAACGGTGTTTCAGCACAGCACATTTCAGCGTTCACGATAACAAACATTTGATTACAATTACAGAGTTACGTGAGTGGAGTTTAACCTGTTTATCTATCTGAAGTTTGAAGAAAAGTCTGTCGAGTTTGGTGTAAAATTTGAAGTTTTAAACTCCATCTTCATTAATTTGAGCTGCTTGTATTTCAAAGAAAATGCACAGACTTCATTAAACTTTAACAAAAAAGAAAAAGCAACAACTTTATTTTCTCATGAACTACGTCTCTTTTTTTTTCTCTCTGGAGAAAATATGTTCTCATCAGAATCACATGACTGACTCACATATTTTTACTGAAACTAAACAGCCCACTCCAAACAAGAAATTAAAATAATACCACACATATACATGGAAAACAGCCTCCATACAGTTTGGGCCAAAAACAGTAATCGCCAGGCTTTTCAAACTAAACACTGCTCGCGTGTTTGTCTGTCTGTTTAGCGATACAGTTACAAGAAGAAATGACGAATTTCATCAAATTTCTAATTTACTTTGGTGGGAAAATGCTTCTTTATGGTGCGTTTTCTCATAAATCACTTCTCTTTCCTGTTGAATGCCACAAGAATCACATGACTGAGGCATGTGTCAGTTATGTGGATAGGTGCGTGGCAAAGAGATTTAAAATCGAAATGCATTTAGTGCACTTTTAGTAAAACCTGTCTCTATACACATCTTTATAGAGCAAATTCAGCCAAACTTCATCACCTTTAATACATTTCTTTATATTTATATAAACAACATGAATGAAAATGAAACCCGAGGTTTATTGACAGTGAAGTATTTTCTTGTGTATTTTTTGTCTCTTAAAATGCAGTTTAAGAGCGACTCTGACCTGCTTAAATGTTTAATGAGCGTCTGTGATGCGAAAACAGGCTCTGCTGCATCTTTTGGCTATATCGACACACACCGACACAAACACACACGCCCACACTGAACCACACACGAACACACACCTGTCAGCTAATGAGCCACAGCGAGCACTCGGCAGCAGCTGAGGAAACCGCCGAGCTCCTTCACACTGACGCGCTGCACAAACAAAGACTGTCGACTGCTGTTGCTGTCAACCTTATTTTTATTCAGTTTTAGTCAAAATGATAGGAAGAAGTTTTTTCTTCTATAGCTTTATTTTAAACAATCTTTTATCAGGGTTTATTTAACACATGGGAGCCCGAACTTTTTTCTTTACATTTTAGTGAAATGCGGAAAGTTTTACAACGTTCAAAGCTTGAATAGAAGCGTAGAAGTTGTAACAACAGTTCGTGAACTGTTACCAACATTAGAATCATTTTTGTTGTGTACTATCATTTTATTGGGGCTCTTAGTTGAACACAGAACTCAGTCAAGTTTGTGTTTCCTCTAACCTTTGAACTCTGATCTCCACAGAGGCAATGGACTTGTACGACCCTAAACTGTGTTACATCCTGGATGGCTTCCTCGGCATTTATGGCCTCATCATCACTGCCATGTTCATCAAAGAGAAGGTGGGTTTGTTCCTTTTTAATATTTACTGCTGATTGGATTCTAGTCTAGGAGTAAAAACAGATTCAAATCCAATTTTCATCTCTGAACCAAATCAGACCTGTTCAATAATGACTCTATAGCCTTCTTACTTCGCACTCCACAAAAGGCTGTTTTTGATTAACAGTCATTGATATTTTTCTGTAGTTCTTCAAATCGAAAGCGAAGATGGAAGAGGAGGGCTTATACAGTGTAAGTTACTATCACCTAACACCATAAACTGCTCGTTAGCCTGTTTTCCCCAATTTTAAGAGTGAATATTGGCACTGTACTGATCTTAGAATGGGAATAACTGTTGATGAGGAGAATGATGTGGATTAAAACGTGTTCTTGTTCAGGACCTGAAAGGTCAGGATCCAGGTACTTACGAGCCACTGAGAACGGGAGACCCCGAGAGAGGAAGAGTAAGTCTGCTATTCTCATACAACACATCTAATTAAGTACTGAAGTCAAATGTTTAAACACAAAAGACAAAAAAACAAATTTAGAATGTTTATATGTTTGATTCCACTTTTTTGATTCTGGAGGATAAGGCGCATTGTTGTCACACTGGATCGCCATCCTGCAGTAGTGACTGTTGCTGAGAGAAGTTTTTCTTAAACATCTCTAAAGTTATTTACAGTTTTATAATTCCCGGTTCATTTAAAATTCCCAGATCTTTTAGACCTCATGGACTTGGCGTTTTAAGTGGTAGAAAGATATTGTCACTAATCCCATTTCCTTACCTGAATGATTGAGCATGCATTGAGATTTAATGTGTTAGATAAGATCAACAAAATAACAGAGCCTCAAATCTTCTTCTAGAACACGTGTAGAAAGAGCAATCCTGGATTCTAAACGAAGAACATTAGAAGAATTGTGACAAACTAAAATACTGGAGACAAACTGCAAGAACTCCCAAACTGTGGACTTCTTAAAGAAACTGGGAACCACAAACCTGTGAAAAACCTAAACCACACCAAGAACCACAATAAACGCAAAATCTTGAGTTTGTTGTTGAGTACTCTAAAATAATTATTAGGAAATGTCCTCAGGAATAAATCTAAAGGACAAGAAAACAACTAATTTGCAGGAATTTTAAAAGACTCGTCAATATCTGGAAGATGTTTGAAGAACACTAAAACGCTTCTTAAAAGTTATGAATGGAATAAATGCATGGATCAAACATATCTGGGAGAAACTGTGACAAACTAAGTGGAATAGGACAAGTTCGAAAGAATTCATTAACTATGGACTTCTTAAATAAACCCTGTTCAGAGATCAGGAAGAACAAAAACCACTGAAGAACCCAAACCACTTCTGCAAGTAGTACAATTAATTGTACAATAACCGCAGCAAATGAAGTTCAGAAGAACCTAAGTAGACTATAAGAATAACTTATACCTAGCTTATACTGTATTTGGTCGTTTTTGCAAGTGGTTTGGGTTCTTCAGTGGTTTTTGTCCTTATTGGATTCATGTTTCCCTAAAAAATAAAACAGGGACCATGAACCATGACAAGGACAATTCGATAAAAATTAAAAAACAAACAAACAAACTGTTAACTACTTTTCAAAAACACTACAGGCTCCAAACCACCTGTACAAGAACTACAATAAATGTGAAGTATTCTTAAGAACTTGCAGATCATA